CAACTTACTGGTACAACTTTGAAAGAAATTGTTTGCTAAACCAGGGAAGGGCCGAGCCCCTCACATGATGCTGTCCCCTTGGATCAACAGTCCCAGTTTGTCTCTGCCAGGGTTACATGATACAGTACTGTACAGTGTTAACTACTGTCATGGTTACATGCAAAGGTGGGCACGCGCAACTTTTTTTTAGCACAGCAACCGTAACTCTGCTGAAATAGTTGAGCCGCAGCCATTTTCAAAAAGTTTTGCCGCAACCGCAACGTGGAACTTTAAAAATAAATAAATAAACAAATACTAAAGTCATAACATTTGCCTATTTACAAGTAAATCAAAATATAATTGATACAAAAAAGTTAATATTTTCAATATTTTATTACAAAATTACAAAAAATTGCCTCACTGGCTTCAGTGGACTGGCTGTCAACAGTCGGTCACTTCAACTTCCGTGTCCTGGTCGGCAGGATCACTGCTGCTGCCACAGACTCCTCCTCGTCACAAAACGATCCGTATTACTAGTAATAACAAGAAATAAGACGACAAGAAACTGACGCCTTAACTGCAGTGCTACTGACTGCCTGACTGGTTATGATATGAATCAATCCTCCCTCCTTTCCCTCTCTGTAGTTGCCAGATTTCATCTTTCACATTAACTCTAGTTCCTAGAGTTTATGTGAAAGATGAATTCTGGCAACTACAGTGGGGGAAGGGAAGTGAGGGAGTGACGGAGGGAGGGGTCTCATCTGGTTTACAGTTCAGAAATATGCTGCCCGACCAGTATCATGTGTATGCTGAATCATTCCGTCAGAAACAGAAATTTTCGTAATGCTCGGCTCTAGGGATGCCCGGTTGTTTATGCGGTCGTATTCCAATTTTCAATTATTGCTGAAAAATTTTGCGCGTTATGCTTGAAAATGCTTGTAAAAGTTGCACTGCAACCAGTTCCGCAACTCTCTGGAAAAATTTGTGGCACAACTGCCTACCTTTGGTTACATGATACAGTACTGTTCAGTGTAAACTACTACCATGGTTACACACTGTACAGTGTTAACTATTGCCATGGTTACATGATACAGTACTGTACCTATATGAGTTAACCTGTTGTACTGTTTTCCATAATACAGTGAACCCTCACTTTACGCGGTTAATTCAACCCACGGCGGCCCGCGTAAAGTGAACAACATAACATATGGGATTAATTGAAATAGAGACCGGGCCGACCCCCAAACTCCACTTTTTCAGACACAATACCTACGTTGTAGTAAAAATAACTTCTTAATTTTATGATGGTATGCACACACAATTAATAATTAAGAGAAATATCAATAATATTAGGTTTTTTAACACTTACATTAGTAGAAAAGATGGCTGGGCACACGGGGATGGGGGTTGGTTCCGAGGCAGAGGGCAGATTATTGGCCCTCACCTGTATCACTTGTATCAATTGTATCACTATCCACCACAGAGGCTTGCAGGGCCTCTTTGTCAAACCCCTCAAAGTCCATATAAGTCCATATCCTCACTATAATTATCACTATCACTGACTTGGGCCGGCTGTGGTGGGTGAAGAACTCGGTAATGTTTTGATGACTGGGCGACCTTGTGCGCACCCTGCTCGCGCCGCTCTCCGCGTAAAGGGGTACACGCACCGCGGAATGTGAGCATTCCTGTTTCGGCAGGGTACCGCGTAAACGTGGAAATGCGGAATGTGGGACCGCGTAAAGCGAGGGTTGACTGTATACACATTGTAGTCTTAATGATACACTCTTTTAATTAAAAGATGCATGAAGTGTATAATAATACATACTTAAAATAACCTGTGTCAACAGAAGTGGTGTTGATGCAGCTGGAGGGTGGCATCAAGGTCCACAACCATTCATCAAAGGTGGACCAGTATAGCTTGGCAAGAATTACACCTTCCCAAGAAGTGTGCAGTCCAGTATGTGAGAGCCGCAACATATTTGACATCGTAAGTACAGTACTGTATATTCAATGTATTTTTTGCAGTTCCTATATGTAATTTCTTTAAAACACATAAACCCCATAGCCGGTACAGTACAGTAGATTAAAAACTACACCTGAAACACTGTTACATGTACAGGATATAATGTCTCATCACACCAGGTGAAATAAGCCACAACTCTCAGTGAAAACATCAATAATCAAGAGTCAGTCATCCAGTAGAATCATATGATCTTGGGGCAACTCTGTGTCACATAACTTTTGGACTGGTTGAAAGACTTGTTTAGATCTGCACTCTTTATTTCTTGTTATAATGGGATCTTTACCAATAATATCATACCTCTTTTAGCGAACCTCGGCCGACGGATATTCGTTTAGTACATAAAAAAAATATTGCCTTAATGAATAGTGTATAATAGTAAGTACATATACAGTAGTATCATTCAAGAAAAAAAGTCAATCAAGCATTAGTGAAAAAGAACTTACGATAAAGTCTGCCACCATCTTTGTCGTTTACATCATCTAAGCCAATCGGTGATCACTTCAAAATCTATAGTACTGTACTGTAAAGCCAGCGGGGTACACTGGGTACTTTCTTCCAAACATGTTGCATGTTTTGCTGGCTGCTGCACTCACTAGGTGTGAAAGTGCCATATGTACAGGAAAAGGGAAACGCCGGAGCACCTTGGCTTTCTTATTTATTTGAGACATCTCCAGCTCATAAGACCCATTAATCCCACTACCTTCCCACAAATGAGAGAAGAGCTTATATACAATGGGTGATCTGATATTGCATCAGGTCAGTAACATGAGACCCACTCATCACCTAACCCACCTTCATTGCAAGTGTTAAGACATATAAAGTTAGTTGTGTACTGGATTGGACATTCAGCAGAGTGGACAGTGTAGGCTCAAGATGACAGCATCTGCTCATGAGTACATAGAGTAGATTCTTGGAGAGTTTCCTTTTTGCATCTAATTCCTTTTCAATGATCATGTTGTGGAAGTTCTCATCTGTGATAACTTTGGCTTCGTGATCGATTTTGGGCCTTGTTGGTCGTGTGTTTGATGACTTTGGAATGGAGGTGCTGGCTGAAGGAAGGAGTTTATAATTATCTGCTCCAGGCTTCGTGATGGGGGGTGTCTTGGAAGAAACCTAGTATAGCTGTCTAAAAGTCTTTTGTGAATACCGTACTGCACTGTTGGAATCTTAAAAGACGAAGCAAGGTTTGGGCTACAAATGGATAATTAAAAAAAAAACATTTATTTTTTACATCATTCCCACCATCGAGAATTACCCCGGTCAACACTTGTACGGTATATCCTGACAATGTTTGGCTCCACTTACTGGCTGCTGTCAGTCTTCTTCCTCTACCATGATCATAGTGAAGAACACCACCACCACCATTGTCTTACACCCGCCTGTCCTGTTTGTACTGTACCAGAGTTCACGCAAGTGGCAACAAGCACAGTCTCATTTTATACACTGATGACAAGCCCAGAGTACAGTACAACACATAACAATACAGTACAGCACAGTACATGACCTGCAGTGTTTTATTGTAACAGAATTAGTCTTTATTTTACTCATCCTCTCCAGGGTTCATCATTCATCATCATTTTATAACTATTGTCCATGCTTGTGAGTGTTACTTGATGGCAGCTCTCAGTGGTGCTGCACAGTCTCTCTTGTCAGGTTCTTAACTTTAATGTCATTTCTTAAATCTCTCCATGATCCTTGTCCTGTCCCTGGCTCTTGGTCTCCACATGCCCAAACCATCTCCGCTTGCCTGCCCACCAATATTGTTCCTCTACCTGGCATAAACCCAAACTACATTTTGTTTATATCCTTTCTCTCCCTTATCTATTTCTCAATCACTGTTTCTTAACCTGATCTAGCTGCTTCAGGCACCCGTAGTTCCCATGTTCAAGTGCATCACCTTTACCCTTGTAAGTATCAGTTATATTCTTCCTCCAGTCATCTGGAACAGTACTGTACATTCCGTCATGATTAAACAAGTCAATTCGATCACCATTGACACCTATATCATGTACTACTATCTCGAGCTTTCGGCTAACGGATATATCACTGTAGTTGCAGGCGTTCCAATCTCTCTGGTAACTGAGGTTATGTAGAACAGGCACCAGTCTGGTGGCCCTCCTTTGGACATTTTCAATCAATTAGCAGTCTCTAGCACATCTCGGGGACCAGATGGAGTGACAGTGCTCCAGATGGGGAAGCATCTCATTCTTGAAGATTGATGGATCATCCAGATATCTAAATGATCATCTTATAAGACCTACTGTACTAGTTTTGTTGCCTGATTCACATAATTCTCACAATGAATAAATAAAAACAAACTGGTGAATGAGGCAGGTACAGTCCCCCTCCTCCCCACCTCCAGCACATTTACACATCGTTAGGCCTATATCAAATCTGATTAGACTGTTGTACAGTACTGTATCCCCATTATAGACAATACAGTATTGTAATAATGAATAAGGTAATAGATTTTATATATATAAATATTTTATGAACTGTACAGTCCATCTATTTTAACAGTAGAGCCCTTGTATATGCCTAGCCCTTAAAGAAATCAGCACCCATAAGGCTGGGAGTTTGACTACTTTTAGTGATGCCAGAGCAGCATTGTCTTCTGGGAGTCTTTCTGTCCCATCCACCATCTAGTTTGAGATATTTTTAGCTGGCTAGTGGTCCTCTGTCAGTAAGGACACAATGTGGATTTCTGTTGGGTATGTGTCTGTACAGTCCGAGGTAATGAGAGGGCTGACAAGGTGGTCAAGTCTGCTGCCTCATGTCATGCTCCTTCCCTCACAGACAATTCTTCCCCGCAGTTAGATCAGCCATCTGGGCCTCCTGGCAGCTACATTGGGACAATTTATCCATTTCTAACCTGTAGCGAGAGATTACAACATTTATCTATCCTTGGAAATATCCCTGAATACCCTACCATTATGAGACTGCCCTTGACCCATCTATGTATTGGACACACTCACCTCACCCACAGTTTCCTTATGGCCGGAGGACCACAGCATTATTGTAATGACTGCCTAGTGCCACTGACTGTGAGACACTTGCTGGTGACTTGGGGAGTTGTTTTCTGTCTGAGTGCCGGCAGGTGGATGGCTCCTCCATCTGAAAGGTGCTCACAGAGAGAAGTTCAGCACCTGTGGTGGATTTTTTAAATTTTTTTTTGTAATAGAGGTACTGTACTTAATCGCTTATGATTTTTAAATAAATATGGGATTTTATATTTTAATTTTGATATTTAAACTTAATAGGGTTTTATTTTACAGTATTTATATCATAGTTTAAAATTATGAGTTTCATTTTTGGCATTAAATGGCCACAGGCTGCAATGCTAGATACTTTACCCCATCAGTCACTCTGCTTAGTACACTATATATTAGTTAAGAGCTGCATATTGATGCCATCTTTTACTGATATGGTAGAGAAGACTAATATGCTGGAGTTTGATTAACTCTATATAGGAACAACTTTTCCAGACTTTTACAAATTGAAAATTGTTACTTTAAGTTTGTATGTCCTTTATGACCTGACACTGGTGTATATACTATTCAACACAGTGGTGTGGTGGCTCACTGGCAAGGTGACCTTTGTGGATGACGGAGGCCTCGGCTTCGACTGAAGACGTGTTGAACTGGACGAGTCAGAGGCAGTATTTTAAATGGTTCGTAAGTGATATTTATGTTTTACCTTAAATATTTCCCCTCTATTGTTACAGGTGAGAGAGATTACCTGGGTGTTGGTACAGGTGAGAGAGATTACCTGGGTGTTGGTACAGGTGAGAGAGATTACCTGGATGTTGGTACAGGTGAGAGAGATTACCTTGGTGTTGGTACAGGTGAGAGAGATTACCTGGGTGTTGGTACAGGTGAGAGAGATTACCTGGGTGAGTTAGATACAAATATTGGCAAGAATTTTTTTCCATGTAGATTGATGGCAAGATATTTATAGTTGAAGCTTATTATTGGTATTAATGGGTAAAAAGGAGGGGTAGCTGTGCCAGGTAAGGCAGAGACTGAGATGGATGAACGAAATAATCACAGTTGTGGTCCCAGAGATGCATCACCTGGCAGGCTGTAGCGCTGCCGACTCTAGACATGATGGTTCTTTATTAAACTGTCCTGTTCATTCGGTTGTTCCAAATGACAGGGTCGGTCTTCTATCGGTCATTAATTGTTATAAAACTTCAGATAATACAGGAGTCTTTTTGTCATTCTGTCTATGTAGTATACAAATTGGCCACAAGTTTAAGGTCAGCTGTGTTTAATACTGTATTTGTGACCCCTGTTGTGATGCCACTGACCTAGCTTGAACCTTGAGTGAATGTTAACAATAGACAAATTATAGAACAGGAAATGAGTTTATCAAGAGGTCAAAGTCATTGTCGAAGGTCAATATTTGTGGCATGTTAAAATGTAAATGCGTGATGATACATTACATTATATTCTAGTAAAATTGGCATCTAGTTTTAGAGTTGGATAATGTTTATAAAATTCATGCAGTTGGGAGTGTTTTATATGTGAGCAGAGCCAGTGTCTGCAGGGTGGTAAGGGGAGGGAGGGAGGTGATGTGGTGTATCTATCACAAGCAACATACTGTGGGCTGACTCACTAATATTTCTTGAGTTTGATGGTGAAGGAGCAAAGGCTCCCAGCATAGTGAGGATGAAAACTGGCAGTGGTAAGGGCTGATAGATGGTCCAGTGAATTGACAAATTAGGAGAATGGGACAGGTGTAGAAGGAAGGGTGTAGATGGAGACTGACCAGAAGTGAGAGGAAGGAACATCCAGCAAAAGCAGTGGTGTATGCGAAGGAGTGGATAACATGGCGGTGATTTATTGGGTAAAGACGTGTTGGTGGTGAATGGCGTTAATGTAAGGAGGCAACAGGAAGAAAATCCATGACTTGTTGTGGTGATACTAGTCCACCAGGTGTGTGTGAATGTTTCGAATGAGGTGCGAAGAAAGAGTTACGGTTAAGTGATACTAGTCCACCAGGTAGTGTGAATAATGACTGAGGGTGTATGAAGAAAAAGATATTTGTTGTGGGTAATATCCACCAGGTAGTGTGAATAATGAGGAGGGGTGTATGAAGAAAGAGTTATTTGTTGTGGGTGATACTAGTCCACCAGGTAGTGTGAATAATGAGTGAGGGTGTGGTGAAGAAAGAGTTATTTGTTGTGGGTGATACTAGTCCACCAGGTAGTGTGAATAATGACTGAGGGTGTATGAAGAAAGAGTTATTTGTTGTGGTGATAATGCTAGTCCACCAGGTAGTGTGAATAATGAATGAGGTGTATGAAGAAAGAGTTATTTGTTGTGGGTGATACTAGTCCACCAGGTAGTGAATAATGGAGACTTGGAGGGTGTAAGGGAAGAAAGAGTTATTTGTTGTGGGTGATACTAGTCCACCACAGGGTAGTGTGAATAATGACTGAGGGTGTAAGTGAAGAGAGTTATTGGGTGATACTTAGTCCACCAGGTAGAATAATGACTGAGGTATGGAAGAAAGAGCGTTTGTTGTGGGTGATACTAGTCCACCAGGTAGTGTGGAACAATGAACGAGGGCAAAAAGGGAAGAAAGAGCATTATTGTGGGTGATACTAGTCCACCAGGTGTGTGCGAATAATGAACGAGGGTGTATGAAGAAAAGTTATTTGTTGTGGGTGATACCTAGTCCACCAGGCAGGTGGTGAATAATGAACGAGGTGTAAGTGAAGAAAGAGTTATTTGTTGTAAGATACTAGTCCACCAGGTAGTGTGAATAATGAACGAGGGTAAAGGAAGAAAGAGTTATTTGTTGTGGGTGATACTAGTCCACTCAGGTAGTGTGGAATAATGACTGAGGGTAAAGGAAGAAAGAGTTATTTGTTGTGGGCAGATACTAGTCCACCAGGCAGTAACAATGACTGAGGGTGTATGAAGAAAGAGTTATTTTTTTGTGGGTGATACTAGTCCACCAGGTAGTGTGAATAATGACTGAGGTGGAAGAAAGAGTTATTTGTTGTGGGTGTTACTAGTCCACCAGGTAGTGTGGAATAATGAGGAGGGTGTAAGGAAGAAAGAGTTATTTATTGTGGGTGATACTAGTCCACCATGTAGTGAATAATGACTGAGGGTGTGAAGAAAGAGTTATTTTTTGTGGGTGATACTAGTCCACCAGGTAGTGTGAATAATGACTGAGGGTGTAAGGAAGAAAGAGTTATTTGTTGTGGGTGATACTTAGTCCACCAGGTAGTGTGAATACGAGTGAGGTGTAAGGAAGAAAGAGTTATTTTGTGGGTGATACTAGTCCACCAGGTAGTGTGTGAATAACGACTGAGGTGTAAAGGAAGAAAGAGTTATTTGTTGTGGGTGAGCATTTAGTCCACCAGGTAGTGAATAATGACTGAGGGTGTATGAAGAAAGGTTATTTTTTGTAAGATACCAGTCCACCAGTAGTGTGAATAATGAACGAGGTGTGAAGTGAAGAAAGAGTTATTTTTGTGGGTGATACTAGTCCACCAGGTAGTGTGAATAATGAACGAGGGTGTATGAAGAAAAAGAGTTATTTGTTGTGGTGATACTAGTCCACCAGGTAGTGTGAATAATGACTGAGGTGTAAGGAAGAAAGAGTTATTTTAATTCCCTGCTACTCAGCAATATAAAAAAAACATTTGGCCAATAAAATATTAATTTTACAGGTGTAGAAACAGAAATACTTCCAACAGAGGATGAGAACCATAACTTGGTGTCCAGATGAAGAAGCACCATCAACATGGGCAAGAGAAATGATCAAGAGTAAAGAAACAGGTGAATGTACCCTGAAGTCAGTTCACCAGACATGACAGCAAGTTATATCGTGTCAAAGTAAGTGTATTATAACAATTTACAACAGTGTATTGAAAGTTTATCTACTGACCACTGTAGAGACATTGTAGGGGTGAGAGAAGGACAAGCAATATTATCGGACTGAGGGAAGGGACTCACTGTGATGTGTAGGAGTGAGGAAGGACTCACTGTATGTAGGAGTGAGAGAAGGACTCATCTGTGATGTGGGAGTGAGGGAAGGACTCACTGTGATGTAGGGAGTGAGGGAAGGACCATGATGTGTAGGAGTGAGGGAAGGACTCCACTGTGATGTGTAGGAGTGAGGGAAGGACTCCACTGTGATGTGTAGGGAGTGAGGGAAGGACTCACAGATGTAGGAGTGAGGGAAGGACTCCAGGATGTGTAGGAAGGAGGGAAGGACCCACTGTGATGTAGGAGGAAAGGAAGGACTCTGCTGTGATGTGTGTAGGAGTGAGGGGCCGACCCACTGCGGATGTAGGAGTGAGTGAAGGACTCCACTGTGATGTGTAGAGTGAGGGAAGGACTCCAGATGTGTAGGATGAGGGAAGACCTGCTGTGACAGGTGGAGTGAGGGAAGGACTCACTGTGATGTAGGGAGGAGGGAAGGACTCACTGTGATGTGGGGAGGAGAGGAAGGACTCATCAGATGTGTAGGAGTGAGGGAAGGACTCACTGCATGTGTAGGAGGAGGGAAGGACCTGCTGTGATGTGTAGGAGTGAGGGAAGGGACCTTGCAGGATGTGTAGGAGTGAAGGACTGTTGTGTAGGAATGAGGGAAGGACTTGGTGCTGTGTGTAGGAGTGAGGGAAGGACCGGTGTTGTGTAGGAGGAGGGAAGGACTTGCAGTGATGTGTAGGAGGAAGGAAGGCCTTGTTGTGATGTGTAGGAGTGAGGGAAGGATCAGTGTTGTGTAGATGAGGGAAGGACTTGTCATGTGTTAGGAGTGAGGAAGGACTGGTGTTGTGTAGAGTGAGGGAAGGACTTGGTGTTGTGTAGGAGTGAGGGAAGGACTTGGTGTTGTAGGAGTGAGGGAAGGACTTGGTGTGTGTAGAGTGAGAGAAGGACTTGCAGTGTTGTGTAGGAGTGAGGAAGGACTTGCAGATGTGTAGGAGGAGGGAAGGACTTGGTGCTGTGTAGGAGTGAGGGAAGGACTTGCAGTGATGTGTAGGAGTGAGGGAAGGACTTGCAGTTACTTTTTACACACCAAAAAAGGTCTTGGTTCTGGATTGGGTATATCCACTTCACTTTATGCTGTATGTATGGTCCATTCCCCACACTTAGCAATTGTTTAACACATTCATAAGATTCTCAAATCTTTGCACTGTTCATGGTTATTCATCACATGGGGCAACGATGTGTATTAAGCTCACACCGAGGTGTATAAGATATTTTCCTAAGAGTACATTTTATGGGTCAACCCCAACACTTCACATATGTCTGATACATTTATCCTTACCCAGATCATTGTTCTCATATATTTTCATCTGATACCTGAGGTACTGTAGCTATGTTTACTAATGGTACACAGAGGGTAATACTGTAACCTTCAGACAGGGTCACACTTACTCACTATTGTACGTATCAATTGGCCTCCTCCCCTAATAGGTACCTTGAGTTCTCCCTTAATACTATCAGTACACACATCATATACACAGACACTGTATTAAAACATACAGCCTATAAATTACCCCTTCCAAATTTTTCTGTGGCACTCCACTAGCGGTGAGTTTGTATGTTACGCAGCTGATGTATGAATCGAAGAGACTATAGAGACCAGTAGTAATGTGTGCAGTGTCGCCAAAGAAAGAGAAGGAATTGAGACCCTGCTATTGTTTGTAAATGAGGCAGAAAGTCAGTTGAGGGTTATGCTATATAGCAGCAGGGTCTACCATTAGACAACACATTACGCTTCCAATATCTTCCCAGGCGGTAGTACCTCCCTGTTTGATAGCTGCTACTACACTGCAAAAACAGGACTGTCATGGCCAGCATTTATGGTTGTGGGGAAGGTCTGTGATAGGGTGAATCAAGAGGCACTAAAACAATGAGTAGGAGGAAAGCCTGACCCAATGCCTTGTGTTTTGACATGTGGGGCCATACCATAAATTTTGTTCAAATTTCATACAAAAGTACTACTATATATGCTGATTAGGATATGGGTTCACAAATTAAAAATTAGAGTAATTAGTTAAAAAATTACTTGAAATAATCAGTTATTTAAAAGTCAATTATGGTGTGTGTCCACCCCAGGTGGTCAGGCTGTAGGGCATGTGTGTGTGTCCCCAGGATCAAGGCTGTATGGTACGTGTGTCCCCAGGTGGTCATTGTTGTAGGGCATGTGTGTGTGTCCCCAGGGGTCAGGGCTGTATGGTACTTGTGTGTGTGTGTCCCCAGGGGTCAGGCTGTAGGGCATGTGTGTGTGTCCCCCAGGATCAAGGCTGTAGGGCATGTGTGTCCCCAGGAGTCAGGCTGTATGGTACTTGTGTCCCCAGGTGGTCATTGTTGTAGGGCATGTGTGTGTGTGTGTGTGTCCCCAGGATCAAGGCTGTATGGTATGTGCCCCAGGTGGTCATTGTTGTAGGGCATGTGTGTGTGTGTGTGTCCCCAGGATCAAGGCTGTATGGTACGTGTGTCCCCAGGTGGTCATTGTTGTAGGGCATGTGTGTGTGTGTGTGTGTCCCCAGGGGTCAGGGCTGTAGGGCATGTGTGTGTGTGTCCCCAGGATCAAGGCTGTAGGGCATGTGTGTGTGTCCCCAGGAGTCAGGGCTGTATGGTACTTGTGTCCCCAGGTGGTCATTGTTGTAGGGCATGTGTGTGTGTGTGTGTGTCCCCAGGGGTCAGGCTGTATGGGCATGTGTCCCAGGTGGTCATTGCTGGTAGGGCATGTGTGTGTGTGTACCCAGGGGTCAGGCTGCAGGGCATGTGTGTGTCCCCAGGAGGCTGTTGTAGGGCATGTGTCCCCAGGAGGTCAGGGTTGTAGGGCATGTGCATGTGTACCCAGGAGGTCAGGGCTGCAGGGCATGTGTGTGTCCACCAAGGAGGTCAGGGTTGTAGGGCATGTGCATGTCACCCAGGAGGTCAGGGTTGCAGGATGTGTGTGTCCCAGGAGGCTGTAGGGATGTGTCACCCAGGAGGTCAGGGCTGTAGGGCATGTGATGTGTGTCCCCAGGAGGTCAGGGCTGCAGGCGTGTGTCCCCAAGGAGGTCAGGGTTGTAGGGCATGTGCATGTGTCCCCAGGAGGTCAGGGCTGTAGGGCATGTGCATGTGTCACCCAGGAGGTCAGGGTTGTAGGGCATGTGTCACCCAGAGGTCAGGCTGTAGGGCATGTGCCCAGGGTCAGGGTTGTAGGGCATGTCACCCATGTTGTCAGGGTTGTAGGGCATGTGTGTCACCCCAGGACAGGTTGTAGGGCATGTGTCACCCAGGAGGTCAGGGTTGTAGGGCATGTGTCACCAGGAGGTCAGCAGGGCATGGTGTGTGAGGTCAGGGCATGTGTCACCCAGGAGGTCAGGGCTGTAGGCATGTGTCCAGGGTTGTAGGGCATGTGTGTGCCCCAGGAGGTCAGGGTTGCAGGGCATGTGTGTGTGTCCACCAAGGTCAGGGTTGTGGGCATGTGTGTGTGTCCACCAAGGAGGTCAGGGTTGTAGGGCATGTGTGTGTGTCCACCAAGGAGGTCAGGGTTGTAGGGCATGTGTGTGTGTCCACCAAGGAGGTCAGGGTTGGAGGGCATGTGTGTGACCCCCTGGAGGGGGACCCTATGATGTGTAGGAACAAAACTCTCCAGCAGTAGGCATAGAAGAATGTTAAAGCAGAAGAGGATGTAGCAGGTAGAAAACAATAGGAAATTTTTGTTAAAGAAACAGTTAGAATCAAAGAAAACTGTGCGAGGAAATGGTTAAAAAATCAAGGAAGAGCAGAGAGGCCTTTCAGCGACAAAAACAGAAGTGTTTGCTTTCCCTGGAAAGACTAGCTGATACAGTTAAAACTAAGAATAAAACAAAACCAAATGGATGAATATTACATGGGAGAGAACACTAAATATTTGTTTATATTTTATATAAAATCATGTTCCATGATATATTCTATAATGGAACATGATTTTTTCTGATTTTAGTATTACATATGCTCTTGAAACCCCAGTTGCTGGTGCCTTGGAGATAAATCCTCATGGTAAGTATTTAATTTTTAATTCTCACACAATACAGTGCAAAAAAGCTTACCTTTTGTATCTTCTCTATAATGATGCACAAATAAAAATATTAAACACATTCAAGTTTAATAACTAAAATTTGGAAAGGAATTATTCAGACTATATACATGAAAAATATTGTTGCAATAAACATACATGTTTGATTTTGGGTACTGTGTATTTTAACTAAAGCACTCCCAGTTTGTGTGATAATGTGAGAAATTAAGTTAAATGCTGTATGGTAAAAAGTTCCCGGATAGGTGTTTCCCCTGAAGCCAGCCCCCCACCCACCCACCCACCCAGTTCAAATAAAGCTTGTCTTTTCCAAGACCCAATCACATCCCTGAGATTATCAACTTTCCCTGCCTGTGAACTGTATGCTGTTATGGTCAGAGTTGATTGAGAGGAAAGGCTAGTTGTACAGTATGTGCTAAGCCTGCTAAAGTTAATGGAGGTCTGATTGAAGAGTATTGCAGTGGTGGATGGAAGACTGGTGATATGAATTAAAACAACTACTAAGTATAAGTGGGAGAAACTTAACTAGAACTTAAAACTTTACTGTACTGAAGCAGAAGGGAGAGGGAGGACCTTAGCTTAGACTGAAGTTTTATACGAGTGAGGGAGGGATTTGTGCTACTTAATCTGCACTGAATTTATTTCCTTCATTTCTTCCATATCCTGGGGTCAGGTTTCACTTCGTCTGAACCCAACCAAGAAGAGAGTCATCTTTTGAGACCAGCCGACCCCACCATAAGGAACGTCATCTTTCAACTGGAATCAACCTAGTGTAATCCCGTGTAAACAAATGAAAATGAAATTGTTGAAAAAGATGGAAGATTTTTCTGTACGTGTACAGTATGTTAATGATTTATCATGAGAATACTGTATTGGTGTAATGTCTGTATTGTCT